ACTAGCCTTGAACACAGAGAGGTATATGGACAGTGTCCAGGCCCTGAGTTCAAACCCCAGGACTGGCTAAAAGAAAAAAAAGACAACCCTGAAAACCAAAAAGACCCTAGAGCTCACATGTTCCTCTTTATGTAATTTTTTTATAACTTTAATATGTGTGTGTGTGTGCATGCATGCGTGCATGTGCCAATATTGGGGTTTGAACATTGTCGCAGTGGTCAGAATTCAAGGTCAGTGTTCAAGGCTGGTGCTATACCATATGAACCACAGCTCATGTGCTTGTTAATTTGAGATAAGAGTCAGATTTGTTTGCCTGGGCTGGAGCTTTGAACTACGACCTTTAGACCTTATATTTCTGAATAGCTAGGATTACAGGGATGAGCCACCACCACTTGGGTAAAGGAGTTATTTATAATGCTGTTTCTATGCTCTCACCTTCCATTTACAACACAGAAATGATTCTTTTTTTGTAACAAGATCACTAGTGACCAACTGTTGCTTCACATATGAGAAGAGAGTACTCTGATGAACTTTGGAAGGGATAAGCTTTTGTTTTGTTTGGCTATGATACAACTAAGGCAGTTTACCCATGTGTCTTTCTGCATCTAATTTTCTTGCCTGTAATATGAAGACATTATTTTAAATCCTTTAGTTCTAAATCATCTGAGAGTTTTATAGATGTTTGGCTGTCACCACTTGTAAGATTGAGTCTTAAGGGCTGGGAAAGTGGCTCAGTGGTAGAGCGCTTGCCTTGCATGCATGAGGCCCTGGGTTCGATTCCTCAGCACCACATAAGCACAAAGAAAAAAAGCGGAATGGCGCTGTGGCTCAAGTGGTAGAGTGCTAGCCTTGAGCTGAAGAGCTGAGGGATAACGCCCAAGCCCAGAGTTCAGTGGCCATACCATACCTAACTTACAAATGGGAAGCTAAGAAATGTAGGCAGCATCTTGGTAGCCCGTGACTAGAAAAACCTTACTAGAGAAGAATGAATTGAGACACATTACCACAGATAACCTCTAAATTTTTTTAGAACTTATTTCTATCTTTAGCTTGAAAAGACAAACTATTCAGATTTTGATAAATACAAATTACCTATTCTTGCTGTAATTGGGTAATTTCAATATTTCATGTATTTAGTTTTGGTGTCAAGCACTCTACCACTGAAACCACTTTCCCAGCCCTCTTAGAACTTATTGAATAGCTTAAAAACTTCAGCAAAACTGTTATAGGATAATGAATCATAAGCTAGACAACTCAAAATATTCTTTAACTGCATAGTGAATTTCAGGCCATCTAGTATTACTAGACTTATTATCCCCCAGAGAGAAATCCACTCGATTTCTCGACCACTGAAATATTTACTATTCCTTTGCTTTCAGTTATCTTGTTTCTTCAAGTGAAATTGCTGAGTGTAGGTTCAGAAGAATATATAAATGGAGTCTAGTAGAATCCAAAATCTTCTGTAAAGATTCTGGTTAGAAATACCCTTTTGGATTCCCTCACCACCACCACTACAAAAAAAGGCCTTTGGGTTTTTATGTATGTGGCAAAGTACCGCAGGAAAATGCCCTGAGTTACCCTGCCCCTTTCATACTATGCCATACTTGGCAGCACCAACTTTTTGTTTTGGGGGAGTAGGGTTACCAATACTGGGGCTTGAACTCAGGCCTTGAGCATTATCACTTAGCTTTTTCTCTCAAGGCTGTCTACCATTTAAACTACAGCTTCATTTATGGCTTTTTGGTGTTTAATTGGAGATAGTCTCATGGATTTTCCTTCCCCAGGCTGGCTCAGATCTCAGCCTCCCAAGTAACTAGGATTACAGATGTGAGCCATTGGCACTTAGCTTAAACTATGAATCTTTTAAGCATGGGAAATAGCTGTAAAGGAGATGCCTGTAGCTACTCAAACACTCAATTCTTGTTTGTAGAAAGGCATTCCATTACACTGCTAATGTGAACATTTCTCAGATAAAATAGCTGTTTTGTTTGTTTTTATAACAGCAGATACAACTGATAGCTCTCGTTCTACTGTTGTTGTGGTAGCACAGGCAAATCCAGGTGTTGGGGTAGAAGTTTAGGGTAGTGGTTGCTAAAAGTGGGCCAGATGCTGTGACCTACATAACCTGTAACGTTGGCATTTAGGGCTGTTGACTATCATTTTAGTTTTTAGTTCACTTTATTTTTGTGACAGGAAGAAACGATAGAGTTAGCCAGGTGAAGAAATGATAGAGTTAGCCAGGCGCCAGTGGCTCACGCCTGTAATCCTAGCTACTCAGGAGGCTGAGATCTGAGGATCACAGTTCAAAGTCAGCTTGGGAAGAAAAGTCCGTGAGACTCTTATGTCCAATAAACCACTAGAAAACCAGAAGTGGCGCTGTGGCTCAAGTGGTAGAGCACTGGCCTTAAGCTGAAGAGCGCAGGGACAACGCCCAAGCCCAGAGTTCAAGCCCCACAACCAACCAAAAAAAAAAAAAGAAGACATGATAGAATTATACATTAGAGACATAAACAACTTTTTAGCTTTTATCTTAAGTGGGTAGAAAAATAAAGCCACCTCATACATAGTGAACTGTAATTTAATAACTCAGTAAATTCATCATATGTAGTCAAAATAAAATAAAAATTACAGGAGTTGGGGCATATAAGTAGGCAAGAGGCACTGAGTTCAATCCCCAATACTGCCAGAAAGAACAATTCAGGTAAGCTGAGCTCTGGTAGCTCATGCCTGTAATCCTAGCTACTCAGGAGACTGAGGTGGTTTGAAGCTATCCCAGGACCCACCCAGTTCAGGCAGTCCTTTTATCAAGATCGCTAATAACCTGCATATGCATTGCCTCACAGATAGGTTTGCCAGAGATGTTTTTCAGAGAAGGGCAATAATAAAGATTGAACTCAAGGCCTTTTGCTTAGTAGGTACGCTGTAGTACAGAATTGGAAAAGGTGTGTTGCATGGCAACCTAGGGCATTTCTGAAGTTAATTCCCTTAGAAGCATAAGTGAAAGCAAAGAATGACTTGAGTGTGAGCTGAATGCTTGTTTAGTTCTCTCTCTAGGTTTCTATCACTGTTCTAAGTCTTGCTTAAAATATACACTACCAAAATTAGATGCTTTCTGGGCACCAGTGGCTCATTGGTCTAAAGATCCTGGTTTGAAATTAGCAGAAAAGCTAAAGGATAATGCCCAGGCCTTGAGTTCATACCCTAGTAAAACACACGTGCACAAGTGCATACACACTCACACACAAAGATGTCAGGCATTATTCTTTAATGATATTCTATAGTTCCCTTCTTAACCCCACCTAATGAGCTTTTACTGTACTATAACTTCCAAGTGATTATCTTAAAGTTAGGACCCATTTATTCACTTATAAATTGATGTTAGCCAGGTTCTGGTGGCTCACAACTGTAATCTTAGCCTCTCAGGAGGCTAAGATCTGTAAGATCTGAGGATCCCTATTTGAAGCCAGGCAGGGTAGACAAAACCAAAAAAGCGTGGATATTAATCCAACTATAAGCTAATACCAGGGTCCACACTCTTGCTTGGCTTTTTTGTTCAAGGCTGGCACTATACCACTTGAGCCACAGCTTAACTTCTGCCTTTTTTGGTAGTTAATAGGGGATAAGAATCTCACTGTGAAGCTGGGCACCAGTGGCTCACACCTGTAATCAACCCTAGCTACTCAGGAGGTTGAGATCTGAGGACCATGATCCTATCTTCCTTTTATAGCTGAGATGCCACCATATACAGCTCTTTTTGTTAAGATGAGGTCTCATGAACCTTTATTTTGATGGGGCTAGACTGGAATTCCACTTCTCCTGATCACAGCCTCCCAGATATAGCTAGGATTATAAACATGAGGGCATGGCTAGTGTAGAATCTTTAGTTGAAGAACCTACAGTCAGAAAGAACTGCAAACTATACTAGTGTCACAGCATGATAAAGGGACAGGATAATAGTATTAAATGTGATAAAAAAAAAAAAAAGCCAGGTGTTCGTGGTTCACACTTGTAATCTTAGCTACTCAGGAGAAGATCTGAGGATTGCTGTTCAAAGCCAGCTGTGGCAGAAAAGTCCCTGAGACTCTTACCTGCAAGTAACTACTCAGAAAAATCCAGTAGTGGTGCTGTGGCTCAAGTGGTAGAGTGCTAGCTTTGAGCTAAAAGAAGCTCAGGGACAGCACCCAGGCCCTGACTTCAAGTCCCAAACAGGCCAAAAAAATAAATACACACGCACACACACATGTGTATGTATATCTCCTCTGTGGTTTGCTCGAGTATTTTTATTCGCTTTATATGCTGCTAAGTGGAAGCATGAGCCTTTGGAGTGAAGATAAAATTTCCTGATGCCAGTCATTGTAGCTCATGCCTGTAAGTCTACACAGGAGGCAAGACCTAGAAGATTGAGGTTTAAAGACAGCCCAGGGAGAAAAGCCCTTTCTAGCAAATGCTGGAGTTGGAGGTATGACTCAAATGAAGATTTCCAAACTTGAGCATGAAAGCATAAAGTCCTAAACTCAAACCCTTTTACCAACACACTCTCTCTCTCTCCTGACCTGCCAGCCATTTCCTTCCCAACTCAAACTAAACAGAGATACAGACGGAGGAGTCTGGAGCCACTTGGGGAATGATATTACTTTATGGGTGTGTACTGGGGCTTGAACTCAAGGCTTAGGTGCTATCCTTGAACTTTTTTGCTCAAGGATAGCTCTACCACTTGAGCCATGGCTGCACTTTTAGCTTTTGTGGTGCTTAATTGGAGGTAAGAGCCTCAGGAACATTCCTGCCTGGGCTGGCTTCAAACCGCAGTCATCACATCTCAGCCTCCTATAGGCATGAGCCACTGGCATCTGGCTGGGAATGATGTTTCTCACTTTAATGCCACTCAGCTCTGGAACAGATTTCAAATACTGAAAGCCACGGGAAAGGCAATGGCTGGCGAGAGTTCTAGGTGAAGCATCATATGGTATATCATTAATCACTCTTCTTTTCTTCTTTTTCAGTGAACGAGATAATTGGGAGAGACATGTCCCAGATTTCTGTTTCCCACGGCTCAAGGGTGAACACAGAAGCTCCTCTCCAAGGTTCTGAGTCCCTGGATTTAGGAAGATCTGATGGGCTCTAACAGTGCAAACCTGCATCCTTATGCCAGATCAGCTTCTCAATACTTCTCTCTCAGACCTTGGGTTTCTAACTCTTTGGCCTTCAGGACCTGTACCAGGAATTAAACTCAGCCATTTATGGAGAAAGCATCTGTTCACAGAAGAACAGGAGCAGCATAGGCTGAGTGATGGAAAAATGAGTTTTGCATTTTTTTATATTTAAATAGAATACTTTTATATGACAGGTGCTTTGAGTGTGGATGCAGCAAGCTCTTCATTTTAGAGATGCTGCTTTTGCAGGTGACCTGGTTGAGTAGCTAGAATTAGTGATTTATACTGCTTTCTGGTCATTTGGAGGCCCTTTAGTTTTGATATTTTTAAAAATAGGAAGTTTTGATAATCTTCTAGAGGCAAGCAAAAGGAGAAAAAGTATCTTAAACCCACACTTAATGCCTCAGAAACTCAGCATGTGTCCTGAAGCCTTTCATAGATTCATAGGAAATAAAGCCAAATGTAGCTCATACTCTTTATAAAAAAGTAAACTTATTAGATAAAATGAGAAGAGACCATTCCATCATTGAAGTGTTGGGATATAAAGACATTCCAGAGCATAGCCTTTACATAACTTTCTGGGTAACCTTTCTGCAGTCTCTCCATGTTACTAAAATTTTTATGCTTTTAGGACCTTGTATAGATAAGATGGCTAATTGTAAAGTGAATTTGAAAGGTGGAGTTTTAGCTTGGTAGCTTTAATTTTCTGCCACCCTAAACAGACTTTGGCATGCTCTTCCTATTTATGTCTTCTGACCCCAGAACCTTCTCTTAAGTGGGAGCTTCTGCCTTTGGTTGCGCTGTAATGTTTGATGGTTCAAGCAGCTTTGTAGTTCTAATTATTCTATAGAAGACAGGCCAGCTGTGTCAGGAGCTAAGTGTAAATGAGCTGTGCATTAAGATGAGCCGAGAAAATGCAAGACTCCAGATGGAAAGGCTTATCCTCCATTCTGTTTACAGCCTGAAATGATTCTGGCCCACCCTTCCCTGTCTGTGACCTAGAAAGCAGCCTTTTCTTTACAAGGCTGGAGGCACATCCAAAAATGAGGTGGTGTCATGGACCTCACCTTCTACACCAAAGATGCCCTGGTCCTGCTGCTGGTGAGACTGTAGCCCAGGCAGCATCCTGCAGAAACTCCAACCTGCTATCAACCAAAGGAGGTACACAAGTTGGGCACCTACCCTGCCCTTATCTTCTCCCTCTTAAAGGGATTTATTACCTGTTCCTGGGCCTATTTTTAAGTCCCTGAACTTTACAGTATGTTTTCAGATGAAATAATGTACTTTCATTTATTCAGGAAGAAAAATTTTTGAGTGCCTACACATAAGACAGAGTACTTGGGCCGGCTTCAGACATGACACTGTTACTCCAAGCAATTACAGACCCTTAGTGCCAGGGCTCTATTATGGTCACATAGGGCCTGAGCCAAGGGCTGGTCTTTGCCCTCCACCTGCAGTCAGCAGGGTAAAAGCTGTTGACCCAGGCTAAGGAAGTTTGGATTTTTTTGTTGTTTTGTCATGATTTGGATTTCTTCCCTAAAACAATCTAGAGAACAATCTATCCTTCAATACATTACTCCGGACTCTCTTGGAGCTAGGTGTTTTAATTTTTCTTTGAAAGTAAGTTTGTGTTGGTATGGATATAAGATAATGCTTCAGGGCCTGTGGTTGGAATCCCACAGCTTTCTTTGAAGGATAGAGGGTTAGCCTCCGAGTTAAAGTTCCAGAAACATGACCAGACTTGTTTCTACCCTCTTTTCCTGGGGCTCTAGAGTACTTGTCTCATCCTTTGGGGGCTGCTTTGCTCCCCTCAAGAATAAAAGCCTCTGTGATCCAGCGTTGCTATGCACCAAATTTTGATGCCTTTTAAATACCTTGATGCCTGTAGCACTAGAAATGCTTTCCTATTTAAAACAAAAGTTAAAGTAGAGCTTTGTCTACTATGTAAGCAGTTTTATATCCGCTTTGTAAAAGCTTTTGTGTAAGAATATTTTTTGGCTTTGTAGATAAAGACTTTGAATTTTTTGTGCAACTTAATGGTTATAAAGCACACATCCATTGGACTATGCAAATTGATTTCTAGTAGCAGCATTGAGTGAGTGGGCACACAGCCCTCTCAAACCTGTGCTAAATCTTGGGCTAAGGAATAGAACAAGCAGCCATTCTGCTTACTTGATATATAAGAGAAACATGGATGAAACCAGCTTTGTAAGGAAGAGATGCCTTGGGTTCACTTGTGGTGCTGCTTCCCAGGGTACCGCCCACACCCTCCAACCCCCAGGCTAGTCACTGTCAACAGCTCTCTGCTGGGCCTGGCTTTGTGAGGCTATTCGTTATATTCAAAAAAGATGGTTGGCTTACCTTTATGACTCAAGATGGGTGTAAACTGAAACTTTGCGTTTTATAAAATGGATGTTTAGTAAAGAAACTGGTTCTCAGTTACGTTTACAGCACTTGGGATTGTGTTTTCTTGTACATTTTGTATTTTAAAACCTTTTATAGGAGTGCAGTGCTCCTTACCACAAATATAAAGGGAAGAGGAGCCACTAGTTCAGGCTCCTCCTCAGTTTTAGTGCTGAAATAATAAATGGTGACAGATTGACAGTCCTCTTGCAGTCTGAGTTTTTCTCTGCTTGAGGTTGGTGTGGAGCCTTTCACTCTCAGGCCAAAGCTTAGGGCGCTGCAGCTTTTAAAGTCCATTGGGTCAGGAACTTTTGTTCATTTTACAGAGAGGACACGGTTCCAAGTTCCTTGAGGCTTCAGTACTGCACTTGTTAGTGGGTGCAAAGGACAGGCCATCATGTTTGCTTGGCACTGGACAACTGACCTTCCAAAGGTGTTGCAAAAAAGTTGTCAGACAGTCCCTTTTAAAATCCATGCCTGATTTTTTTGTCTGGAAAGGGGCTCCTGCCCCCTAGTGTTCTCTGAAGACAGTGCAGCGCAGTCCAGAATAGGTTGGGATTTTGCCCTCTACGTTCCTTGTGTGTAGCTGGAGTGGGGCTAGCATTCCTAGATGGGGGCCACCACCCCTGGCACATGGTGGTTCCTAGCATCCAAGTATCCTGAGGGCAAGGACTGCCCCTCTCATCTTCACTGCCCTCACAGGAGGGGAGGTGGAGTAAGAGAGCATTGAGATCTCTACTCAGGAGGCTCAAACGGACCTTTGGCCCTCCCATTAGTCTTATATGAAGGTTACGAGGGCTTAGATTTTAAAAAGCACAAGCCTGTAGCGTACCAATTAGTCGCACAGTATGTGCGGGCACAGGCCTGTCAGGAGGCCTCGGCATACCACTGGAAACAGGACAGTCCCATTTTACCCTCAGCCATCATCTTGGATGAATAGGTAGAGAAATATATGGAAGATGGATCTGGGCTTGAGCTTCTCAGGATGCCATCTGAGAGCTTTGACAAGCTAGATGGAAGCCATCTGGCTGAGGACGCCCAGGAGAGCATATTAGCTGTGGAGATCAGCTAACTCTATTTACTGGCTTCCTCCTACAAACACACCCACTCCTTGGGGGTTTGTAAAACAGTGCGAGGTGGATCACCAACAGGCATCAGAGTGGCGTAGTCATCAGGGGCCAGCTGTGGAAGGGACACAGATTTAGGACATGCTATTCCAGGCTCATCCAGGCCTTCAAGCCCTCTAGCCACATAACCTCACCTGGTAGGCCTGGAAGACACTGAGCAGATCCTTCATACCAGCTGTGTATGGGACGCCCTGCATACGGACCAGGGCTCCTGGCTGAGACAACACTGATGTGGGAGTAGAGGCCAGAGCAGCAGGGGACGTGGCAAGGTAGCCCACAGTTGTAGGGGACACTGGAGGGCTAGGGTGGGAGGGACAGTTTAGTAGTGGTCTAGATCAAGACCTGTCTCTCTCCTCCCTTGCTTCTGTCTCGTGCTTAGTTCCTCCACCCTGAAATCCCTGCCTCCAGTTGGTTTTATAGGTAACACCATCAGCCACCTATATACTTCCTTGCTATCTCAGAATAAAGTCTAAGACTTTACATTATCTGGCCCAGAAATGAATCAGTACCTTCCACAGATGGGAATATCTGCGGGGTTCTGGCAGCAGGGTACCTGGGGTAGTAGGCTGTATAGTTCATGTAGAGTTGAGTGGCTGGTCCTGGGTAGTAGGCAACAGGAGTGGGGGCAGCAGGCACCCTGGCACCTGGGAGCAGTGCCGAAGAGGAATACAGAGCTGCCGTCTCAGTGGGAATGAGGGCTGGGGTGGCCTGGAAGGCGGCGTAGGTGGGTGGCGAGAGGCCTAGAGGTAAGTAGAAGGTGCATCTGCAGGGAGCTGAGGACTGCCCTAGAGGGAGCCCCCACTGTGGGAAGAGGCAGCTGAGAACACCTGGCCCCTGTGTGCCTTTGCCAGCCCCTAGAGCACTCACAGGGCAGTTTGCAGGGTGGAGGGGACATGCCACTGCGGCCCAAGGTGCCCCCCATCAGCACGCGGCTCATTTCCTCAGTGGAGCAGGGGACAACCTCCACATAGCGTTCCTTCATCACCTTCTTGTGGCAACGCTGAGCAGCAGCTAGGGCACGCTCTGCTGACATCATCTGGATGAAGGCGTCGCCACTTGGCCGGCCCTGTGCACACTATCTTGTAAGCAATCTGTTGTGTCCAAGAGCATGTGTGTTCCCCTCCCAGTAGCAGCCTCACCTGTTGGTTGAGTACCATGTGCACACCATGAGGCCGTATATCAGCTGCTGCATCCCCCAGAAAGCTCAATATATCTTCGATGGTGGCTGCGTAGGGTAGGCCTCGAAGGCGTACACAGTCCCTTCCAGCGCCAACTGCCAGTGGAAAGGGGATGGGCAGCAGCGGAGCAGTAAGTGTGGGAAGGAGTGGGCTGGATGCATAGCGGTTTAGGACCTAGTGAGAAAGGCAATGGGCTTTTCACCCCAAGGAGGCGGGGTGTGTTGTGGGGGAGGATGAGGAGCCATGGGCGCTACATACCTGCTGCACCTCAGCTGCAGTGCTCCGGAAGAGTTCGATGTATCGCTTACCCAGCATGCCCTTATGCTTACGCAGTGCAGCCTGTGCCAGCTCCTCACAAGCAAAAAGAGCAAAGGCGTCACCAGTTGGCCTACCATCAGGGTGGCGCACGAAGAGCAGCCCCTCGGTGCCTCCAGTTACTGGGCACTGGGGCCCCAGGAAGTCTAGCACATCAGTCGGCCCAGCTGAGAAGGGCAGTCCCCGCAGCCGCAGGATCACTTGGTCTTCCCGTGACAGGAAACGAGCCACCTCTAGTGATGTGCCTGCGCAGGGAATGGGAGTTGAACACAGGCACATGTGAGAGCAGAGGCAAAAGGTGGTAGGAATAGGATAGAGGTCAAGAAGCAAAGGCACACTCACCTCCTGCAATCTTTACAAACTCCTCTCCGGTGGCTTTATATACCTGTGAGCATAGAGGGAAAAGCCCATGGGTCTCAGGCCTGACTCTGCTTTGCCCTGCTCCGCTCCGGGGGAAAAACTCCCCACCTCAATATAGCGGATGCCCATGTGATGTTTGTGTCTCTGCAGCGCCAGGTCGCGCTGTTCACTGTCCACAAAGCGAATGAGGGCCTCACCGTTTCTGCGGCCCTGGGCATTGAGGCAGAGTGCTACACCACCCCTGTGGAGCCAAGCGCTGTTAGTGCTTCCTGGGTTAGGTCTGTCCTGGTGGCCCTCTTCTCCTGTCACACCCACCTGGCAATGTTGAGCCCTTGGAAGAAGCGAGCCACATCCTGGTCTGATGACTGCCAGGGCAACCCACGGGCCCGTACCACAGTCTCACTGTCCACCACGTCTGCTTTGCTGCTATGGGGGAGGGAGGGCATAGATAGGGTCAGAGCTGTCCGACTGCTGTCACCCGCACCCCTGCTCCCATACTCACCAGGGCCCTGTCTCATATTTCTGCTTTACCACCTCGGGTTTCAAGAACAAATGACCTGAGAGGAGATGGCATGGGGGTCAGCAGGGTCTGGTGGAGGGGAGAGGGGTTCTCCCCACCAAGCTGCAAAAAGAGGACAGGTGAGGGGAATGAGGTGATAATGGGATGTCTACCTTGTGCTGGCTTAGAGAAGGCCACGAGAGCGGGCAAAGGGCCTGGGAGCTTTTCTGCTCAAGGCTAGCACTCTACTACTTTGAGCCATAGCTCCACTTCCAGTTTTTCTGGTGGTTAAATGGAGCTAGTCTCATGGACTTTCCTGCCCGGGCTGGCTTTGAACCTCGATCCTCAGATCTCAGCCTCCTGATGACAGGCTAGGAGCTAGGATGATAGCTGTGAACCACCGGCGCCCAGCATGGCAAGGGGAACTTGAAGACAGAATAGGCCTGACAGCGGGTGAGAGGCCAAGTGAGGGAATCATACCATTGGGCCCTTCAAGCAGGTGGAGGATGACAGCTACCATTGTCTTCACTTCCCAGACCCCAAAGTCGTCCTCTGTAGCATCTGTCTCTAGTCCCAAGTCTATGGGCAGAAAAGTGGCAATAAAGAAATCCTAGCTTCAGAGGCCCCACCTGAGGGTAGTTGGCATAACTACTAACCATGTTCAACCCAGGCCCAGGTCTCCTCTTTACACACATGAAGAATCCCAACATGCGCTTTACAGGCCCCCAGCCCAAGTACAGAAATACACCCACATTCCAAATGCAATCCAGCATAGATACAGTCAAGGACTCAGCAGATAATGCACATTTGCTTTGTGTCCATATAACCCATCTAGCAGCATGCGCATGCTCAGATACAGCCCAAAGCCACCCGTCCACCTGAGCTAGATACCCTGTGCCATGGTGGCCACTGTGAGGTCCCTGGCCGAGCAGGTGCTTGGGTGCTGCATATGGAACTCTCTGCGGAGGTCGTAGAAGGAGAAGAAGATATCGGGGAGCACCAGGTTCTGGGGGCACATGGAGTGGGGATGAATGAGGGAACTGGGGTATACTGGGCACCCCCACGGTAGGAATCTTGGGAACCCAACTACCATTGTGCCTTCGGTGGCATACCTTCCTGGAAGCCTCAGGGTGCAGGACTTGTCGCAACAGCTGCTGCCCATCGGTGCAGAGCGCGCAGGGGCCCCCGCCCAGCTGGGCCACATCCCCGCTCACCAGCTGTGAGAACTGGGGACAGGGAGGAAGGAGACTCAGACTCACAGCTAGACAGGCAGTAATGGGGGGGGGGGTAGGAGGAGGGAGGATTCAGGCTGCAAAGCTGGTTCCTCCAGATGTTCAGCCCTACCCTGCTTGGGGCGGAGGCCGCATCTAGTGGGCCTGGCTCTGTGGCATAATTTCCTTAGACCACCCCCCCACACTCCAATCCCTGTCCCAGTCCACTGTCACCTTCTCTAGGCCGAATGAGGGCACTCACACATAACCCAAGCCCCCATCACACACACTCCAGGAGTTTGGAGTGGGGCCAGAGCAAACACCTGGTGGAGTGGGAGAAGCAGGTGGGAAGAGGCGGGGTAAAGCAGGTTAAACCAGTCCCAGATCAGGCACCGCCCTCAGACAGGTGGGGGAGGCCCAGGCCTGCCTAAGGGACAGGAGGCTCATGGTCAACAGCAGCCCCGCCTCCAGGTCCGACCAACCCAGGGGCAGCGAAACTCCAAGGACACAACTCCACACTTGGACACCAGAAGCAGCATGAGCTTTGACCCACACCCTATCGACCGGCTTGGCACTGAACTGTTTGCTTTTAGAGGGGGTAGCACCCCCTCCCCACGCTCCAACCCAGCTGGAAAACCGGTATAAGCACTAAGCACAGACTAACAAATCTCCACCCCCTCTCCTACCTCTGCCAATTCTATGACACCTCACAACTTGAGGTTGACAGAACAATGCACCCACCCAGCTTTTCTCCAGGATCCTCCCCAGGTATAGGCTAGACTCAGCCAGCATTTTTGTATTTCTTCATGAAGAACCACCAGATTTGAAAGAGGAAAGACTTTGTGCGTGTAAAGCAAGGTACACTCACTAAGCCAGAATCAGTCACCGGGTAAAGGCAGCAGTGAAGACTAGAATAAACAGCAATGGGAACTGCCTTCCACTTTGGCCAGGGTTGGAAGCACCCCAATCTTGAACAGTCAAGAGGAAGTTAGCCCCCAGGCAGGGTACGGACAGCACCCACACCGGCCAGCCGGCAGAGACAGGCCTAGACGAGCAGCTTACACCTGGCGGCGTCTGCCCGGGAGGCAAACACCGCCCGACGCCCCCGCCCCAGAGATTCCCAGGCGGGCGGGCAGGACCGAGGCGCAGGGCGGCCCAGCCTGAACCCCTCAATCCTCGATCCTTCACCCTCCACCCCTCACCCATGGCACATTTCCAGACGGCCGTTGGGCCTCGCTTTCTCAGGCCGCCATCCCCACCCCTTCAGCGTGCCTGGGAAGGGGCGGGCAAGACCTAGGCAAGAATCAAAAGTTTCAGATCGGACCCTGTCCCACCGCCCCGGCCGGTGGGAGGTGGCGCGCCAGGCCTCGCCTCGCCTCCAGCCGCCTCCCGCGGTGAAACGACCCCCCGCAGCCCGGCCTTTGTGGTCAACCCACGCCGGGCCCGGCGCTCACCTGCTGCAGCACCTTGTCCAGGGACTCGGCCTGCGCCAGGCTGTCCGCACTCAGCCCGCTCGCCTCGCGGCACTGCGGGCTCAGGGCAGTCGCCTCGGCGCGAACCAGCGACTTGTGCAGCGTCCCCACCTGCGAGTTGCGGGGGACACCCATCAGCCGCCGGGCCCCGCGGCTTCCCCACCTCTTCCCCCGCCTTCGGTCCACCCTACCTGGCGGCTCCTCAGCTCCACCACTTGCCAAACTAGGAGAATTAAGTCGGTTTCGTCGGAGCCCAGGTCTGGCCCCAGCGCACCGGCCGTGGCCCCGAACAGCACGACGAGAGATCCGGGCCCGGAATAGGGGTCTGCGGCCGGATCAACCGCGGGGTCTGGGCCCGGGGGCGGGGGCGGAGGCGGCGGCGGGGGAGTCATGGCCGCGGAGGAAGGGGGCGCTCGGCCACACACGCACACACACACTCGCGCGCGCGCGCGGACCGACGAGGCGCACGCACGCACCGACCCGCGGCGGACGCGGAGGAGCCAGGGCGGGACCCCGTGTGTTGGGGGCGGCACCTGTGGCTGGGCTGGCGCTGTGGGCGCTGCTGAGACCCGCCCTGGGCGTCCGGCGGGGCGGGGCGGCTGCCCGCCCCCGCCCTCCTGGGAGAGTTACCTGCGGCCCCGCCGTCCACGTGACCGGGAGCGGCCCGGACAACTTAGGGGCCTGGCCGGAACCCGCCCTGCAATGGAGAAGTTGGACTTTCAGCTGGGTCGCCCTGGATCCGGACTCCCGCTTCTAGGTCTGCTCCTGTCCGACTCCTGGAGTGATCCCCTTCTTCCTCCTCCTCTCTCCCCAGCGAGGACCACGAGGCCTCCGCCAGAACCACGTGCAAGAGCAGAGGCCTTCTCCCGTCCTGGAGGGTCGCCCGAGACCAGTTGAAGTCATCGAGAGGCAACCTGAGGGTTGGGGAGGAGGGGGGACTGGAGAGGGGAGTCGAGCCCCACGGGGGTGGTAGTCACTGGGAGAGGAGGGGCGTCGTGAGAGCTACCAGGTGTCACTTTAGAGGCCTGGAGAAAGGGGGGGGGGAGCATAGAGATCTTCTGGGAAAGGAAAATCGAGCAAAGATCCTGCGTCTTTAGAGCTATGGGCGGTCACTAGAGGTCATCGCGAAGTGCCGGCCCTCCGCTGGAGTGTGCCGGCCTGGATGCCGGGGAGAGAGGAGGCCCCGCCCGAGACGGTCGGGGTCGGAAGCCTCGGCCCTGCGCCACGTGGGGGCGCCTGCGGCTTTGCCTCGCTCTCCCGGACGGCGGGGTTGTAGCCTGGAGCTTACCGGCCGTGGATCCTTCATCCTGAGCCAACAGCCTAACTAACTCCTAATTAGCTTCATTGGCCCGCTCGGGTTTGTGCAAACTTCTTTCCTGAGCGTCTCCGGCAGTCCTGTACTGTCTCAAACTTTCCCTCTTACGTAACTCACTAGGAAACCGCGGGAAGAAAGGGCTCCATCGTGATGGAAGCAGAGATCTGAAGCTAAAGCGGCGCCGTGTGCGTTCGGAAAAGCGGGGCTTGTGCACCGGAGAAAGCCCAAGGCGCATCCCTGGGAAAGAGCATGGCCCCGGGGAGAAGAGAGGAGAGGGAGAGAGGTTAGGGTGTGACTCCCGGTAACAAATGGACACACTGGGACGAAAGTGACTCAGGACACGAGGAGCAGGAGGGGAGCCGAAGTCCAGCGCCTCTACGTGACTAACTCACGTCCTTGGATCAAAAGCAAGTGCGCTCACCTAACTGGGCCAGCCCTCCCGCCCCACCCGACGCCTGCCGGCGAGACCCCGCCCCGTCGGCTCGCAGCGAATCAGACACCGGGGAGGGAGGGCTACTTTCCTCTGGCCCCGCCCCTCGGACAGGCTAGGAATGTTAAATATTTGTTCTTGGGGCGGGGCGCAACCCCAAGGACGGGCCTTCCACCTCCCGCCCCCGAGGGCTTGGGCGGCAGGTAGGAGGCCGCCTTCCTCTAGGTCGCGCCCTCCTAAACAACTCCTCTTCCCCTCTACCTGAAGGAGCCCCGGGGTCCCCACGGAGCTAAGCTGGAGCAACTGGTCTGGTGTTCACGGGTTCCTAGTCGCCTTCGCCCTTGGAGATCCTCCCTCTCCAGTTGATGCCGCGCTGTTGGCAGCCCTAGCGGATTCCGACTGGAGAGTTGCTCCTGCGTGTGCAGGTCTTCTCTGAAAGGTGAACCTGAGCCATCAAGTTGGCAGCATGGGAAGTTTCATTGGTTCATTTTCACACATGTATATCAAGTATTTTGACCATAGTTACTTCATCCTTCATTTTCTCCCTCTCTACTGACATTCCTGGCATTGTGTGTTTGTGTGTGTGCTAATTGTTCAAAGAGGTTTCACTTTCGTGGTTCATACAGTGTTTTAACTTTGGACTCTTATTGAAAAAAAAAAACAACCTAATAGCTAGGAGTGATTGCACACCTGTAATTCCAGCTACTCCAGAAGGCTGAGGAAGGAGAATTTAGAGTTTGAGGCCAGCCTGGGCTACATAGCTAGACCTTGTCTCCAAAATGTTAAAATTAAATAGAGCTATGCACTGGATCATGCCTGTAATCCTAGCTACTCAGAAGGCTGTGATCTGAGGAGAGGTTTGAAGCCAATCTGGGTAGGAAAGTCCATGAGATTCTTCTCCAATTAACCACCAGAAACTGAAATAGCTCCACAAGGTAAAGCACTAGACTTGAGCAAAAGAACTGAGACAATGCTCAGCCCTCGAGTTGAAGCCTCACAGCCTGCACAAACAAACAAAAAAGCTTAGGGACAGTGCCCAGGGCAGTGAGTTCAAACCCAGGATCAGCATGAAAGAATAAAAAAGAAAAAACATACATCCCCTAACAGGCAAAAACTCTGCAAGGTGGGTTGAAAGTGGTAGAGGAGATGAGGTTGATTGGAAAATTCTGTAAACAAATGAAAGTGTGGGGCTGGGAAGGTGGCTCAGTGGTAGAGTGCTTGCCATGCATGTATGAGGCCCTGGGTTCGATTCCTCAGCACCACATAAGCAGAAAAAAGCGGAAGTGGTGCTCTGGCTAGTGGTAGAGCACTAGCCTTGAGCTAAAGAGCTGAGAGACAGTGTCCAGGCCTAGAGTTCAGGCCCTATGACTGACCAAAAAAAAAAGTGTAACAATGAAATTCACCTCTGTATAACTAGTGTGAGCTAATTGAAAAAAACAAAACAACAACAAAACCCCACGGGGCTGGAAGCAGATGAGGCCATAGGGGAGGAGGGAGGGCTAATTTAACTGAAGAAGGTGTTTGAGGATGAATATAGTTTCTTTGCATATATGAAAATGGGATAATAAAACCTATTGAAGGGGGCTGGGAAGGTGGCTCAGTGGTAGAGTACTTGCCTTGCATGCATGAGGCCCTGGGTTCGATTCCTCAGCACCACATAAGCAGAAAAAGCTGGAAAGTGGTACTGTGGCTCAAGTGGTAGGTAGAGCACTAGCCTTGAGCTGAAGAGCTGAGGGACAGTGCCCAGGCCCAGAGTGCAGGCCCCACGACTGACAAAAAAACAACTATTGAAATTGTTTTAAGGAAAGGCAAAGAAGAGAACCATGATATACTTGTGGGGAACTGTCACAATGAAAATGCCTTCTACAACAAATATAAATTAATAAAAAGAGAATTGAAGGCATGGCTCAAGTAGTTGAACACCAGCCTAACAAGCTAGAGGTTTCTGAGTTCAGATCCCATCTCACCAAAAAATTTGGAGAGCTAGTGGTATGGAGGGGTAACAGAAGGGAAGCTCCATAAACTAACGCTTGTTAAACTAAAACAAAAATGCCTTGGGTGCTAGGAATCTGGCGTAGTGGTAGAGTGCTTGCCTGGCATGCATGATGCCCTGGGTTTGATTCCTTAGTACCACATAAACAGAAAAAGCCAGAAGTGGCTCTGTGGCTCAAGTGGTAGAGTGCTAGCCTTGAGCAAAAGAAGCTCAGGGACAGTGCCCAGGCCCTGAGTTCAAGCCATAAGTACAGAAAAAAAAAAATCCTGCCCCTCCCCAGAGGAAAAGAAAGAATGTGTCACTCTTACACTTATTGAAGGATGTTGTTACGTCACTAGCATATGCAACTTAAACTTTGTTTAGTACCAGCTGCCAAAATAAACTTCCCTGTAACTTAAGATATATAGATAGATAGATAGATATAGATAGATATGTACAATAACATTTTTTAAAAGAATACTACCCTTGCTGGGTGCCGGTGGCTCATGCCTGTAATCCTAACTACTCAGGAGGCTGAGATTTGAGGATCACACTTCAAAGCCAGCCCAGGCAGGAAAGTCCATGAGACTCATCTCCAATTAATCACCAGAAAACTGGAAGTGGCCATGTGGCTCAAGTGGTAGAGTGCTCGCCTTGAGCTGAAAAGCTCAAGAGCAAGCCCAGAGTTCAAGCCCCATTACTACCAAAAAAAAAAAAAAATGCCACCCTTGGACTGGGAATGTGGCTCAGTGGTAGAGTGCTTGCTTAGCATGCATGAAGCCCTGGGTTCGATTCCTCAGTACCACATACACAGAAAAAAGCTGGAAGTGGCACCATGGCTCAAGTGGTAGAGTATTAGCCTTAAGCAAAAGAAGCTCAAGGACAGTGCCCAGACCTTGAGTTAAGTCCCAGGGCTGGCACCAAAAAAAAAAAAAAAAGCCCCCCTTTAGCCTTAGATTGCCAAGAGGATCCCAGACATGTCCCTGCCTTCCGTGGCCTACTGGCTGGTAGCTGACTCCACTGGTCCCCACCTGATCTGTGGAGTGACCCACCAGAGCAGCTGGGCATTTCTCCCACGTTCCCATCTCTGTGCCTTTGCGTAATATCACCTAGTGTCCAGCAGATGGCGCGCTGACTCTAGGCACAACTGCATGGTGAGGAGCAAGCAGGAGCTCTGTACCCAATGATGCTGCCCCCTCCCCAGGCCATTCTCTCTGGTCTTTGTGTGGCTTCTGGCGCATAGGACATAAGCTGAGTTTCAAAACTTGTTTTTAATCTTATTTGGAATCTGGGTCTCTTTACCTTTGCCCAGGCTGGCCTCAAACTCCCCATCCTTCCCTTCAAGTACCTGGGATTGCTGGTATCTGCAGCCCCACACCCAGTTCAAAGCTTGGTTTTTAGGGTTCCATCACCTAGCCCCACTCACTCACCTAGCCCCACCCTGTGCCCTGGACACATTGTTGTAATTCCTTACAAGTGCCAGGCTGCTGGAGCACCTACCTTCTCATTTGTGTTAGGAAAAAGGAGAAAAGAAGGAAACAGGCTGGACTCCATCTTCCACTGGCCAGGACTGTTTATTGAGATATAACAGCAAGGGACACAGCCTTCCCACGGGCTTGGAGACTGTAAAAAGATGGGACAGGAGTTGGGTTTTTATGGGGTCTGAGCAAGGAGGCGGAGGTTAATGAAAAAGCCATTAGGTTTAGGGAGGTGGGGGGCTTTTAGGTTGGGTCCACAATGGAATATTTACAGTCAGGCTTAGATTGGCCTGCCTGAATCAGGCAGTCTCCACTTATCTTTGGTGGTTTGCCTGGTCTGTAAGCACCTGGGGAAACGTGGGGGTGGAGGGGTTAAATCCTTCAATTTGTAGCTATAGCACTCTACCACTTGA